GGAAGCCAAGCACTTTCACAATGACGACGAAATGGAGAAAGTCGTCACCCTCACAATCCGGCCCAATATCAAACAGATTATTATGGGTGGAGATAATATGTGGCCTACCACCTACTGGGAGTGGAGGCGCAGAGTCCTACAGATGGACAAGAACTATCAAGTTCACCTTGCCCAAGGCGGGAAGTATCTCAGTGGGACTGCTGGCTCTAAGCCCAGAGCAGCAGGAGGCTTTTCGAGTGGCTCGAAGGGCAGAAGGGATGCCACTGGATTCACCTACAGTGGTGAAGGTGAACCTATGGACATCAATTGTCTCAGAAGAGAAAAGCAATGTTTCTGGTGCAGACACACCAGACACCAGGGGCAGGACAATAAGTGCCCACCTGACAAGTCGAAGTGGTTAAAATTCCCAAAGAAGAAACCATCGACTTTTGCAACCCATCTCAGAGCTGTTCTAGCAGAAATAGAGGAAGAAGACCTCGCTAGCTCGACCCAGGTCGAGGAGATAAAAGAGACGCTGGCATAGGACTTTGCAATTCTACTTTGTCAGCTGGGGTTTACCATAGTGCATCTCATGACATGAATATTCATGCTTATGTTGTATCTGTAGATACTTGTAACAATATACTGCATTCATCTCCCACTATGAAGGAATCGCAAAACAAGAACGGTGTAGTAGGGGATTGCCACCACCCATTGGGCAATGAACCCCGAGGATCAGGTATGAAAGGACCAGACCTGACTAGCAACTCGAGGCTGTACCAGTGCAAAATGAATCTCGATCAATGGATCAAGGATCCAGAAGCAACTCTCGATCATTCAATCAAAAACCCAGATCGGGTTCTCAATCAATGGATCAAGAGCCCAGATATGACCAGGAATGAAGCCCAGGAGCGATGGGGCTCCTTGCACCTGTCCTCACCACCCGACATTTACTTAAAAGCAGGTGAGGGACCCTCAAGTCTGCCCTTCAATGGCATACACAGGATTTCCACTGCTTTAATTAGCAATGAACCCCACCAGCCAAGTCCTAGTGCTGGCTGCATCCAAGCCACTGCAAATACCCCTTTGGGGTGCATGTACAATGCAGCAGAATTGACCAGTTTGACAGGCACCCAAAGCTGGAACTTTGGGGGTATGGAGTTGATGCCCAGTGACAACTCCTGCCATATGGGAGGTCAAGATGAGGATGTCATAATCCAACTCCCGGGAAAGCCACATATAGTGGCAAAGGATCCAGACGATGGTGAACTGGCATCTCCTTTGAGCATCAAGGTTCTCCAATGACAGACCGCTTTGATGACGGTGAGGTCGGAGAATCCAGGCAAGCCTAGGGACAAAGCCAAAGGCTGGTGGAACCTAGCAGACCAAATGGTGGACTGTTGTAAAGCCCCAGGAAATAACCCAGCACCACACATGGAACCAAGTAGAAAGGATACCCAAGGAACAGGCACCTCTAACACAGAGGACACTGGCCGAAAAAGCTCAATCACCCACAAGGATCAAGCAGGCCAAACAGGGGAGAGAGGCTCCCCTTCACAGGTACGTGTCTCCTCACAAGAAACTGATGGAAAGGACGATCCTAGCTATTCAAAGAGTTTACAGAACTCTTCAAAATCCAGTGAAGCCCCAACTAGCCCGAGTGGGTGTCTGCACCGAAGCAAAAAGGAGCTGACTGGTCACATGGTCATAGGAGCAGGGCCTTTGCAGCCTATGGATTGTGATGACAAGGGGAAGACCCCAACGCCTGGTGATGTGCTCGGTAACGGCGAGTGACAAAAGGCTAGTGAATGGATATGAACACCACAACACCAAAACCCTCTACTACTCTACACTAATCACCAATATTATTGAGTTCAGGTGTTTCAAGTACAATAGAAGCACTCTGCAGACTTCAACAAATCAGGGAAAGGTTGTTTAAAGATGTATATTTGGTACTAGTGAGCTACACAAGATGTAATACTCGCGCTAGTGGGGTTTTAAGACACCATTGGATGAATAGTGACTTGGGTTGAGCAACTGCGCTTGGTCTAACTCTGATACTTCGAAACTAGTGGCACTCTGGGCCAAATACTGGGTCTCACAAGCGGTCTACACTTGACTAGCAGCACCCTAGGCTCGACTAGTGGCACTCTTGGCCTAAGAACAAATACTTTAACTCCGAGAAAATACTTTAACTAACTTCGAAACACTCTGAATCACTCCAAGACGGAATAGTAACTTTAAGACACTTCAATTCGTTCAATACTATAGGTGACTAAGCAACTAGTAGACACTTCGTCGAGGTTACGCACAAAAGCCTTTAATTGGGGCACTAGAATACGGACTAGTAGGTCACAATCGCAGGGATGGCTTGCCTGTCTGCGAGGCTGCCCCTTCTACTACTTATATACTACAGAGACAGGTACAGAATAAATATAAATAGATTCTTTAGGGGTAATATTGGTAAGGATATCTTGGCTAGTCATGAATTATGGTGAATAATCATGCAATAGTTGGCCTAGCCTGTTCTTTCTGTCAGATAGCAGGTCAAGGGACTCTGCTATTGGGTCGTTTCCGCACCCTTTGCCCAGCAGTGCTCCACTAGTGACACAGCTATATGAATAGTCAGGTAACCATGCCTGTAGCAACTGCTTGATTGTGATCAGGGCACAGCCTGGCTATACTAGTGCCAATCGTATGAGATCTGTATCACACTAGCCAGATCTGGGCTAAGGGTTATGCCTTTACTGGTTCATTTCTAAGTCCTTTCAGAAGTGCTCGCGTGACTAGTCATCCTGACTTAGGCGTTCATGCCCAGATCGGTCCACTAGCGACTGAATAGTCAAGATCTGTGTGGGTTCTTACTTCTTGTTTGGACACTAGCAGCTGTATTCTTTACTAGTGACCGTATTTTACTAAGTCATACTAGCTTTGGAGGTGCTAGTCCAGTCGGCTGGTAGGGCTGACCCACTAGTGGTATCATTCCTAAGTCCTGACTCGACTAGTAGCATGCTAACTTGACTATCAGTCCAAAGTCTCAACTATAGCCCTTGATATACGACTAGTATAGGATAGACCTGCAACAGTATTGTTATAAAATCGCAAAATCTAGGTGTAAACGCATAGACGGCATATCATCTCTGGTGATGAGAGTGGGATTCGAACCCATGCCCCTACGCGTTTACACCTAGATTTTGCGATTTTATAACAATACTGTTGCAGGTCTATCCTATACTAGTCGTATATCAAGGGCTATAGTTGAGACTTTGGACTGATAGTCAAGTTAGCATGCTACTAGTCGAGTCAGGACTTAGGAATGATACCACTAGTGGGTCAGCCCTACCAGCCGACTGGACTAGCACCTCCAAAGCTAGTATGACTTAGTAAAATACGGTCACTAGTAAAGAATACAGCTGCTAGTGTCCAAACAAGAAGTAAGAACCCACACAGATCTTGACTATTCAGTCGCTAGTGGACCGATCTGGGCATGAACGCCTAAGTCAGGATGACTAGTCACGCGAGCACTTCTGAAAGGACTTAGAAATGAACCAGTAAAGGCATAACCCTTAGCCCAGATCTGGCTAGTGTGATACAGATCTCATACGATTGGCACTAGTATAGCCAGGCTGTGCCCTGATCACAATCAAGCAGTTGCTACAGGCATGGTTACCTGACTATTCATATAGCTGTGTCACTAGTGGAGCACTGCTGGGCAAAGGGTGCGGAAACGACCCAATAGCAGAGTCCCTTGACCTGCTATCTGACAGAAAGAACAGGCTAGGCCAACTATTGCATGATTATTCACCATAATTCATGACTAGCCAAGATATCCTTACCAATATTACCCCTAAAGAATCTATTTATATTTATTCTGTACCTGTCTCTGTAGTATATAAGTAGTAGAAGGGGCAGCCTCGCAGACAGGCAAGCCATCCCTGCGATTGTGACCTACTAGTCCGTATTCTAGTGCCCCAATTAAAGGCTTTTGTGCGTAACCTCGACGAAGTGTCTACTAGTTGCTTAGTCACCTATAGTATTGAACGAATTGAAGTGTCTTAAAGTTACTATTCCGTCTTGGAGTGATTCAGAGTGTTTCGAAGTTAGTTAAAGTATTTTCTCGGAGTTAAAGTATTTGTTCTTAGGCCAAGAGTGCCACTAGTCGAGCCTAGGGTGCTGCTAGTCAAGTGTAGACCGCTTGTGAGACCCAGTATTTGGCCCAGAGTGCCACTAGTTTCGAAGTATCAGAGTTAGACCAAGCGCAGTTGCTCAACCCAAGTCACTATTCATCCAATGGTGTCTTAAAACCCCACTAGCGCGAGTATTACATCTTGTGTAGCTCACTAGTACCAAATATACATCTTTAAACAACCTTTCCCTGATTTGTTGAAGTCTGCAGAGTGCTTCTATTGTACTTGAAACACCTGAACTCAATAATATTGGTGATTAGTGTAGAGTAGTAGAGGGTTTTGGTGTTGTGGTGTTCATATCCATTCACTAGCCTTTTGTCACTCGCCGTTACCGAGCACATCATCTGGAGCCCACCATGAGGGAGTTTCAGACTTGATAAATCTCGTTGAATAAAGACTACTATTTGACACTAGTCGTGTTAAAGAAGATATCATTCAACCTAGCTGCTTGTACACAATCTGTCTAACCGAGCCTCAGCGAAAGCAAAGGGCAAAGCTAGAGCTACAGAGCCCGAACAAGCCTAGACTTCTCAGCCAGTATGCAATAGTGCTGCTTTGAGGCCGCATGGAAGATCAACAGCCAATTCAAGAGCTGCTGGTATTGGATCTCCATCGAATTATGACTTGTTAAAGCAGAAACGAAGTGCAACTGCACCGCCCGATAGCCCACAAGCTAGGACAGCGCAGCGAATCAACACGAACTTAACAGTTCAACAGACTAGACCTCCTGTACCGCCCTCCTGGCCAAGAACTTCCCTCACTAGTGGAAATAGAAACCCACTAGTACCCGGACAATTGAACTCCCAGTCCATTCAAACCACTAGTAGACCGACCATGTCGACTAGTACCCAAAAGATGCCTAGACCCACGTCTAGGGATGCACCCAAGTTTGATAGCGATGAGCCTGAGAACTTGCGACATTTCCTTGGGCAGATGGAGGATTTATTCTCCGACTATAGCATCACTGACGATGACAAGAAGAAGAAGAAGCTAGTAAGGTACACGGATGCCCATACCGAGGAAGAGTGGCAAGCACTGGATGAATATACCAGTGGCACATTTACTGAGTTTAAGGAAGCTGTGCTTAAGAACTATCCAGAGGCGGCTGATGCAGAGACAGGTACTTGGGAGAGGCTGACGTGAATTTCGCGTAAGTTCTCAAACATTGGATCTGACAAGCATGAGACGTATCTGAAGTTCAAGTGTAGGTTCTTGACTGAGGCAAAGAAGCTACAAAAACCTCCAGTGCTAGTTACAAATCGAGAACTAGTGGAAAAATTCACTGAGTCGTTGTCACCCTCGTTTAGAGAACACATTGATTCCCGACTAAGTATCAAGCAAGGACTCAAAAGCAGAACGACTATGCCTGCTGCGGCTCTGGCTATAGGTGCAGCTAGCACTGCAACCCCTGTCAAGCGATGGGAAGATATGCACACCCTTGAAGAGGTTGTTGCAGAAGCTGATGACATTGTGTTCAACACGTCTACTAGTTACCTTCTGTCGTTGACTAGTATGAGTATGTCATCTACTGGAGTCACTAGTGGCCCTGGTATCAAGGCAGAAATGGAAGAAGTAAAGCAACAAGTAGCTACACTACTCGATCACACCGATGTAAGTGATAAGTGTGCGCGTGAGAGGCAAGATGAAATATTGCGGGCCTTTCAACAAGGCGGTAATAATGCCTCCGCGCTGAGGCAATCGAGACCTCAGCATGACAACTCCGGATCGGGGTCTTCAGACTTCCTCTGCTGGTATGACTGGAAGCCAGGGCACTTTGTAAAAGATTGCCAGAACTGCCAGAAGCACATAGTGGAAGGACTATTGAAGGTAGTCAACAACAGGTTCGTGATGGCCGATGGCTCACCTATTCCTCGTGAACCAGCACAGCTCTCACCCATGGATCGAGTACTAGCATGGCATAATAGTCAAAAGCAAGAGCAGTTGTTTTGGGAAGAGCAAAACAGGGCAGTGGGTGTTTACAACCTCGCTATTCCCAAGTATGCATCTCTGTATGCGAGCAGGCCAAGGGACACTCGAGACGAAGTTATTGAAAAACTCCGTCAAGATCTCCAATATTGGCAAACTAGCACGTGAGCCCCAATGCAGCCTGCCCAGCCGACTATCCAGCCTCAGTTGATACAAGCTCCTGTAGCATCTACTAGTAGTCAGCCAATGAATCAATCGTTTGATCCTAACTTGTTTTTGAGTCAAATGATGTCTCTTTTAAGTCAAGCCAACAGTCAGAACCAGACTAGTTGGCAGAATTCTGAAGGTCAGTATGTTGCTACGTGCTCTGGCACAAATGAACAGACCCAGCAGGGTTTTGAGTAGGTCCGATGAAGGCTATGAGGCAAAATATGTCGAACCCCTCGACTATTCCTCATAAACAGCCAGAGGACCATTTTAAAAATAAAACCCAGGGGCCTGAACCTCAGAATTTGTGAAAGAAAGTGACTGAATACTTGGTTGATGAAGTTGAAGAATCAGAAAAGAAATTAAGAAAACCGACTAGTCAGAAAGTTGTGGTAGAAGTACCCACCATCTGGTGCACTAGTTGAAAACAAGTTACCATAGAAGAAGATTCAGATGAAGAGGAGGACCCTCCAAGGCAGGAGCTGCCATTCAGGGATGTCCCCAGTGTGAGCTTTGCTCCTCTGCTGTCGGACAGTAAGAAAACTAGAGCTAAGAGTAAAGAATGGGCAGACGACTCCAAGGTACCAGCCTACAAGCATATGGCACCTATCCATAAGGAAGGCAGGGTACAGGACGTCGTGTCCAAAGTGTTGAAAATGCCAATAGTGTTGAATGCTGAAGAGCTTATGGATCTATCAGAACCATTAAGAAAAGAGATAGCCAAGTTGATGTCCAAAAAGCGGGTAGCAACACAGCCAGTGACGGAAACAGTGTTTAGTGTGGGGGAGACTCAGCCAGAGTCAGTCCCATTACCATTTCACGGCACTAGTGATGAAGCAGAAGATGAGGAGGACTTGTCCTTGACCTCTGATGCTATTAACATCCGTGACTTATCCTCTGCGACATTTATGGCTGCACAATTCAATGTTGGTTTAGTACCAGCTGGTTCTTTGATCATGACAGACCCATACCTTCAGTACCTCGACTCACTAGTGCCAGGAGAAAAGCCGAAGCCGGTAATAGTCGCAAAAGACTCTGCCAGCTTGCGAGCTGTGTACCCCTTAATAAATGGCATAGGCGAAGAAGAAAGTGTGGTTGATGGCGGCTCGCAAATAGTGTCGATGGCTGGGGCAATAGTGACCAAGTTGGGTATAGCTTGGGATCCGGACATCGTTATTCATATGCAGAGTGCGAATGGCCAACTTGAGAAGACCTTAGGACTAGCCAGGAATGTTCCGTTCCTCTTTAATGATATTACCATGTACTTGCAAGTGCATGTTATCAATAGTCTGGCTTATAAGGTGTTGTTAGGTCGACCGTTCGACGTTCTCACCAAGAGTGTCATCAAGAACCAAGCAGACGGTGGACAGATAATCACTATTACTGATCCTAACACGAGTTGAAGGTGCACCATTCCGACTTTCTTAAGGGGTGCTCCCCCTCGACTTGCAAAGACAGCACCAAAAGCTCCAGAAGGGGGTTTTCAGTTGAACTCAATGAATTGATGAATGATCAAGGAGAGTTGGCTTTGCAAATCGTGCAGAATAGTGATGGAACCTTTGAAATTGAAGCATATATGAAGCCAGAACAAGGTACTAGTTTCTCTCAAGAAAATCTAAGAGATAGTTTCCTTATGGCTTCGCTAAATAGTAATGAAAACTTGCGCAAAGATGAAAAAGCTGCAGGACTATTGAATTCCTACTTCCAAGGGAAGGTAGTACCTGAGGGCTATAGCATAAAATTTTGTGCTCATAAGCACGCTAGTGACACTCTTCCGTTGCTAGATGATAATGAAATTCCAATATATAATTTGTTAGTAGATAATTTGCATGCAACCACCAAGGCAAAGGAGACTAGTAAGCCGAAAACGACACTAGTTCCAGGATTTGAACACCTTGGTGCATGCATGAAGAGCCCCGACTTCAAGCCAGTCACGGTACTAGCTGGAAAGAAATATAAGCCCGTAGCATTAAAGGTCAAGCCACTATTGGGTGACCTTCCGGATAAGTTCCGAATAGTGAGGGATATTAAGGGTGACCCCCTTAAAGATATGCCACTATTGAGTATGAATCCACCTGCGTATGTACCTACGGCACGCTATACCCTAGAAAGAAAAGCAAAGATAGACGAAAATCACCCAGAGGGGTTTCTATGGCCAGAAGAGCGAAAGCTAATGCACCATTTCATGACTATCCAAGAGCAAGCGTTCACTTGGGATGACACAGAAAGAGGGTGTTTCCGAGAGGATTTCTTCCCGCCAATAGACATCCCGGTAGTACCACACACTCCGTGGGTATTGAAGAATATTCCCATCCCACCTGGGATCTATGAAGAAGTCTGTAGGATTATTAAGTCCAAGATCGACGCTGGTGTATACGAGCCATCTAATTCTTCTTATAGATCAAGGTGGTTCTGCATTATTAAGAAAGATGGTAAAAGCCTTCGACTAGTACATAGTTTGGAGCCCCTCAATGCAGTAACTATTGCGCATTCGGGGATTCCACCAGCCACAGATGAACTCTCTGAGCACTTCGCTGGATGAGCCTGTGGAGGATGTTTGGACTTGTATGTGGGATACGACGAGCGCGACATAGCAGTTGGTTCTCGAGACTATACTACCTTCCAGACTCCGTTTGGTTCTATGCGACTAGTGAAGTTACCGATAGGTTGGACGAATTCTGTCCCAATATTCCATGAAGATGTAACACATATCTTGAGAGAAGAAATTCCACATGTAACTCGTCCCTATATCGATGATGCACCTGTTAGAGGGCCAGAAACCCGCTACGAGACTGAAGATGGGGGCTATGAGACCATTCCAGAGAACCCTGGGATTCGTCATTTTGTATGGGAACACATGCAAAATGTGAATCGCGTGGTTCAAAGAATGAAGTACTGTGGAGGGACTTTTTCGGGACCTAAGACGTTCTTGTGTGTTGAGGAAATGACGGTGGTTGGTCATCTATGCACTTATGAAGGAAGAAAGATTGAAACCGATAGAGCAGGAGTCATTAGCCAGTGGGGACCTTGTAAGCACCTCACAGATGTGCATGCTTTCCTGGGAACTTGTGGGGTCTGCCGAAAGTTTATAAAAGACTATGCGAAAATAGTGGAATCCCTAGTGAAGTTGACATGACTCAATGTAACCTTCGAGTGGGGTGATGAGCAGCAGAAAGCTATGGACGGGCTGAAAGAAGCAGTCATCAATAGCCCCGCTATTCAACCAATAAACCTCACTAGTGGGGCTGAAGTTGGGTTATGTGTGGACACGTCCTACAAGGCTGTTGGCTTCTATATCTATCAGGTGGATGAGAAGGATCCAACCAAGCGCTACTACGTTCGCTTCGGATCTATTACCATGAATGAAAGAGAAGCCCATTTTTCACAACCAAAATGCGAACTCTATGGACTATTACGAGCTTTGAAAGCTTGTCAGTATTGGCTCATTGGGGTTCGAAACTTGGTTGTAGAAACAGATGTGCAATATATAAAAGGAATGTTGAGTAATCCTGGAATGGGACCGAATGCCACTATCAATCATTGGATAGAAGACATTCTTATGTTTCATTTCACTCTTAGGCATGTAAAAGGCAGTACTTTCCCTGCAGATGGACTATCAAGACGCAATGCGCAACCAGGAGACAAAGTTCATCTGGACTTGGAAGATTATGACCTCAAAGATCATGGTCCGCTCCAGTTTGAAGTTGCAGAAGGAACTAGTACTGAGCCGAAAGATATAGAAGAATTTAAGCATGATATTGATAGTTGAGGCGGCTATATGTACACTCTAGCCACTAGTATCGAGGAGTTTGCTGCAGAATTAGACGAAGCACAGTCGCGCGAGCAAGAACTCAGACAGTTATACTTAGCACAAGAAAACACCGACGAATCTGTATGCCAGTTCCTGAAAGCAACCCCTCTGATCCCAGGCCTCAAACACAAGTTTGATCCTGAAAAGCGAGAAGACTATCCAGAGACCTAGCGGACTAGTAGTGGATTAGTGCAAGACGAGCGCTTACCGCATGTAAGGACTTGGTTAAGAAATCCCAGATTTCATCCAGAAGGACTTAACGAAAAGCAATACTTGAATTTCAAGCAATATTGCCAGAATTTCTTCTTGGACAAGGAAGGACGACTGTATAGACACGGTACTGAAGGATCCCATAGACTAGTGGTCAGTAAAGAGCATCGAATGTACATGATGAGGTCGGCACACGACTCGCTAGGACATAGAGGCTTTTACACGACTAAGTCACTATTGGAACAAAGGTTCTGGTGGCCGGAGTTGGAATGGGACGTGAGTTGGTACGTCAAGTCTTGTCACTTGTGTCAGATTCGGCAGAAAACCATGTTGTGTATTCCACCCTCTCTCACAGAGACGCCTTCACTATTCCAGAAAGTACACTGTGACACTATGGTTATGTCCGTCCCATCGAATAAGTGCAAGTATATTGTGCACGCTCAGGACTTGCTATTGTCCTGGCCAGAAGCGCAAGCACTACAGCATGAAAATGCAAAGGCTATTGCAGTATGGTTCTTTGAGGATGTGATATGCAGGTGGGGTTGTCCTTCCGAGATAGTAACTGATAATGGCAGACCTTGGGTAGCTGTTGTGCAGTGGCTAGCGGACAAGTATGGCATCACAGGCATAAGAATCACTCCGTATAATTCGCAGGCAAATGGGAAAATAGAAAGAGGCCACTGGGACATCCGGCAATCATTATTTAAGGTGACTAGTGGCAATGCAAAGAAATGGTTTTACTTTCTACCACATGTACTATGGGTGGACCGTATCACCATTAAACGTGGTACCAGATGCTCACCGTATTTTATGGTGTTGGGAGCGCACCCAATAGTGCCCTTGGATGTAGTAGAAGTGACTTGGCTCATAAAACCCCCAAGTGGAGTCTTGAGCATGGCAGACCTGATAGGGATCCATGCTCAAGCACTCGCCAAGCACGCTCAGCATGTGATGGAGATGCAGAAAAGAATAAGCAAGAATAAACTCGATACTGTACTTCACTATGAATGCGAGCACAAGGCCACTATTGTGGATTACGACTTCAAACCGGGTCAACTAGTGCTCATGCGAAATACGCGTGTAGAGGATAGTCTGGATAGTAAAATGGATCCCCGCTACCTGGGACCTCTAGTAGTAATTCGGAGGACCAAGGGAGGATCCTATGTGCTAGCTGAGTTGGATGGATCACTGGTCGGTGGTACTGTCGCTCAATTCCGAGTTATCCCATACCATGCGAGGCATAGTATAGAGTTACCTAAGAAAATTCATGATTTGATAGACATAAGTCCGAAAACTCTTAAAGAGTTGGTGGATAGTGACAAGCCTGCATCCACAGAGTACCACTATCAGCCCTTAGGAAAGAAATTATATGGTGTAGACCGGGTTAAGTTGAAACGGCCCGAGGATAGTGACTCCCAAAGTGACAACTCAGAGTCGGAAGCAGAGGGATACCCTCCACCTCGGAGTGAGGAGGACAATAGTGATGAAGAGGATGATACCCCTCTCGCTAGTCGCCTCAGAAGCTCAAAGCAGCAACCAAAATATGGTTAGGATGCATGATATAATTCTGAGTAAGGACAGTAGATAGTTGGTATTTACAGAAATGACTGGCTAGTAAAGATATATATGTGTAAACGGCAGCTAGTGAGGGTCTGTGCGACTAGTGCTAGTTATTTTGCAACCCAGAAGCGACAGGAGCTGAGTCTGCCTCCATAGCCACGGGTCCCTGATGGCTCTCAAGTTGTTTTACAACTTGGCCATGATGGGCTACCACAAACTCATGATACTTAAGCAAGTACTCGACCTTGTGGGTAGTAGCAACAATGTCGTTGCGAAGATCAGCCTCCCAAGAACGTAAGACACTCTCTGAAGGGTTGACATGATCTCCGATGCCGACTAGTGCACTGGCCACATCGATAATACCCTGACTAGCCTCGTTATTGATGGCCAGGTCAGCTGCTAGTAAGAGAAATGAGTATCAGTAATGGGTTAAACAGGACACTAGTAACACGTACCAGCAATAGTGAACAACGAGTCCTTGAAGGCTTGCTCACTAGCAGCGTGAGGACGCTTCCGAGCTTGGACAGCTGCCTTGTTGGCCTTACCCTTGGCAATAGTAGCCTCGGTGAGCTGATATTGGTGGGATAGTGAGTCCATGCCGGGTACTAGGGCGTAAGGAAGCAATATTACCTCCGGATGACATTCCGCTTTGTCCTTCTATAAGAAAACATTAGACTATTGAAAGAAAGACTTGACTAGCAAGGGATCATGAACTTGAGCAGCCTTTTTGTTCTTGAGGAACTTAGGAAGCGGGACCTTGTGGCCCTCGACGATGTTGCCAGCGGTTGGGTCACAATTGACCACAATCTCGACCTCATCGTCGATAGCCATCTGTTGAAAGTGCGCAATCATGGTATCAGCCTTGCGATGAATAGTGGCTGAGGGAAACAATACCAAGTCAGTCTCCTGTGAGGCACCTGAAGCGTCAGGATTACCCATGACTGTGTCCTCCTCAGCGGCGGCTATGACACTAGCCTCCTCCTCAGACGAATCCTCAATGGTAGGACATGACTTGGCGATGCGGTGACTCCGCTTGACAGGCTAGTAACCCGATAGTACTTAAGAAACGAAATAAAGAAATGACTAGTGAAAGCACTCACCGCTTTCGAGGCCTTAGGCTTCACACTAGCGGCCTTCCCAGGGGTACCCTCCGCTGGAGTCGTACTAGCAGCCAAAGCAGCTGCAGCTAGCGCTGCACAACGCTCCCGGTCATTGTGAATAGTTCCAGTAAACGACCAAACAGTGTGATAGTCATGGAAGGTCGGAACGACTGGGTTGGCCTTGTGAATATGCTCAAAAACCTGCTTGATATGGAATATAAGATCCTTGAGCTGCTGATTTCCGGTGACAGCGTTGGGAGCTAAGGTCAACTCCGCCTAATAGTCGCTAGTCAGTAATGGAATCAGAAACAGCCCACTAGTCAATCACATACTCCGATAGTGCAGACGAGCTTGCAATCACTCCAGTCTATAATGCAGATGGTACTCGCAATAAGGGCAGTGTAATGCACTAACTTGGACTGAACAATGTTTGCCTCTAAACTGTCACTCGCATTCGGTGATTCAGTGTGATAGAGGGCGTTGCAATCGCAGAGTCAGGAATGATAGTCCTTAGTCTTGGAAGCAGGGAGTTTCTGCATGAAAAGTTAGGAGTGTATAACTTTAGCCGAAGCTGGGGTGTAAGACCACAGCAAGGCTCGACTAAATACATTGCAGTATTTACTAGTATGTACTGTCCTAATGCATCGCTGTCTTCTGTATTGTATGGTACTGGTATGGTAGAAGTCCTCCTGTGAATGTTAAGGCTTCTGTCCATATGGTGCTTAGTATAGGAGAAGAGCTCGTGTGAGTAAGAAGACTAGCACCCGTATGGTGCTTGATATGGTAGAAGTATGTCAGTGAGTCAGAAGACTAGCCCCCATGTGGTGCTACCTTCTGAGGAGTGTACGTGGTGCCTTGTCCATCCTGGTGTGACTTGTGTCAACTCATGAAGTGTGAGAGAATATCAAGGGTGGGACCCATAGAAGTATGATTGGATCTATAGGCCATCAAACAGATCCAGGGACCAATCAGATGGCTTTGCTGTGGCAATGCTCTGGTGATGCGGTGTGAGCATGTAATGTGAGAAGTGCTCCTATGAGTAAGAAGGGCAGCAGTCATATGGTGCTGCCTCCTATGATGTATGGCTGCAGAGCCTATGACAGAGTCCCAGTGATGTGGTCCGTGACATGAGGTAATGCAGTGTGGGCATGTGACTGAGCAGGTCATGAATGATACAGGTCAGGTACAAGGAATGATGACAAGAGTCGAATGATGAGTGATAAGATCTGATAAGATAAGGCAAAAAATAGGGGTGAGTTCATGACAGGCAGTGATATTACCAAGTTCACTGAGGTATGACTCAAGATCGGAGACCACAGCGAACACATTGAGTTAGCAGTCATAGACCTAGAAACAACGCCAATCTTCCTAGGCTATGATTGGTTACAGAGGCATAACCCACTTATCGACTGGAATACAGGTTCGGTAACCTTAGCACACTGTGACTGTCACAAGATGCTGTTCCAACTTCCTGACAAAGACCCAGAACAACAGTGGGAAACCGAAGTCGAAGAAGAGGATACCATCCTCATCATAGACTTCAAAGAAGCCTTTCACATCCGAGCAGTGGGACACAAAGCCAATGAATTGGCAGCCAAGGCTAATGAGGGGAAGGAAACCAAGTCCTTCAAAGAAATCATCCCTGAACACTATCAGGACTTCATTGATGTCTTCGCCAAGAAGAACTTTGATGAACTTCCCCCTCGCAAACTCTGGGACCATGCCATTGAATTAGTCCCCAATGCCAGTGCCAGTTTGGATTGCAAGGTGTATCCCTTGAATCCAAAGAAACAAGAGGAGTTGGATAAATTCCTTGATGAGAACTTGGTGACCAGACAAATTCGACCTTTGAAATCCCCAATGGTGTCTCCCTTCTTCTTTGTCAAGAAAAAGGATGGGAAACTGTGGCCAGTACAAGACTACCACAAGCTTAATGAAATAACCATTAAAAATCACTACCCTTTACTGCTTATCTCAGATATTATGGATAAGCTTAAGGATGCGAAGTATTTCACCAAACTAGACGTCTGTTGGGGATACAACAACATCCGAATCAAAAAGGGAGACGAATTCAAGGCAGCATTTTGCACTAACTGAGGGCTTTACGAGCCCCTGGTTATGTTCTTCAGACTCACCAATTCACCTGCTACGTTCCAGTGGATGATGAACGACATCTTCAAAGACCTCATCACTTAGGGAAAAGTCACCGTTTACTTGGATGACATCCTCATCTTCACAAAGAACAAGTCAGAACATCAAAAAATAGTGCAAGAAGTCCTAAAGATTCTGTGCAAGAACAAGTTATTCTTGAAAGCGGAAAAATGTGAATTCAAGGTACTCAAGACAGAGTACCTCGGAGTCATTATCAGCAAAGGGTCCATTAAAATGGACCCAGTTAAAATCACTGGCATTATGGACTGGCTGGAACCCTCTAAGAAACAGGAACTCCAGTCATTCCTGGGATTCACCAATTTCTATCGACAATTCATCTGGCACTATAGCGCAGTCATCAAACCAATGACAAAACTCACAGGCAAGGAACCCTGGGCCTGGGGAAAGAAGCAAAGAGAGGCATTTGAGGAACTCAAACACCAATTCACAACAGGAGTCATACTGGCGATGCCAAATGACTATAACAAATTCCACCTGGAGGCAGACTCCACCGAAGGAGCAGTTGGCACAGTGTTATCCCAAGAACAAGAAGGGAAATGGTGACCAATTGCATTCTTGTCAAAATCTCTGTCTGCGACAGAATGGAACTACAAAACTTATGACAAGGAACTACTGGCAATAATGATAGCCCTCGAAGAATGGTGACATTATCTTATGGGTGCCCATCAAGACTTTGAAATCTGTAACGCACTAACTTGGATTGTACAATGTTTGCCTCCAAACTGTCACTCACGTTTGGTGATTCAGTGTGATGAAGGGCATTGCAATCGCTAGGTTAGGAACAATAGTTCTTAGGCCTGAAACAAGGAGTTTCTGTGTGAAAAGTTAGGAGTGTATAACTTTAGCCAAAGCTGGGGTGTAAGACCACAGTGAGGCTTGTTAAATACATTTTAGTATTTACTAGTATTGTACCTTCCTAGTGTGTCGGCATGCAAAGTCCCAATGCAGTGCTGTCTTCTATGTCCTCTGTATCGTACAGTGTTTGGTATAGGAGAAGTCCTTCTGCGAATAAGAAGGCAAGTGCCCATAATAGTAGAAGTGAGTCTGCGAGTCAGAGGGGTGGTGCTACTTTCTGACGAGCATACATGGCACCCTATCCATCCTAGGATGTGATCAGAGTCAACCTAAAGAAGCATTACTGGGTAAAGGAGGGTCTGGCCCATAGTCGTGTGATTGGATCTATGGGTCATCAAACAGATCATGCATGTGAGCAGTGGATCATGTGTGTGATCAATTGGGTCATGAATAGTGCAGATCAGGTATGAGGAGTGATGATGAGAGTCAAATGATGAGTTGCTGAGATAAAGTAAGATGAGATAAGATAAGGTGAAAAATAGGGGTGAATTCATGACAAAATCTGGATAGACCACTCCAACCTACAATATTTCTGCAAACCACAGAAACTTAACTGCAGACAAGCATGGTGGGTTACTGAGCTAGCAGAATTTCACTTCATGCTCAATCATAAACCAGGAGCATCCAACAGGAAAGCCGACCTCTTAAGTCAGTGAGCAGATCACGATCAGGGCAAAAAGGACAATGACAATATTGTCCTTTTAAAACTGGAATTCTTCCGTGCCCTCATTATGCCAACAGAGGAGGAGATCCACACCAAGATCAAGAGAGTGACAAGTGACCCTCAATGATGGGATCGTGGAATCACTTCAAGTCTTGGTCATGAGAAGGGGATCTTATGAAAAGATCACCTCCTCTTTACAATGGACGAATCTATGTCCCCCATGATCATACACTATGGGGGGAACTTATCTCCCACTGCCATGATCACGTCTATGCAGGGCACCCAGGCATCGATAAGACCCAAGAATTGGTCTTAAGGGAATACTGGTGGCCCAAGCTGTGAAGAGATGTGAAAACCTACATACGAGGATGTGAGGCATGTCAAAGAATGAAGACTGACATGCAATGGAAAGCAGCTCCACTACATCCCAATGCTGTACCATCTCGACCATGGGAGCATGTCTCAGTCGACATGATCACTGGATTTCCAGAATCCAAGGGCTACAATGCTGTACTAGTCGTCATAGACCAATTCTCGAAATACATCATGCTGATTCCTTGCATGAAAGAGCTCTCATCGAGTGGATGGGCCAAAATCCTACGTGACAAGATTATCTGCCGATTTGGAGTCACCCCTTTGAAGGTCATTTCTGACCAAGAATCCCAATTTGTCTCAAATTTCATCACCAAATTATACATGATGATGAATATCCAAGGAAATCCATCTATGGCTTACCACCTGCAGACAGATGGACAGACCAAACAGGTTAATCAAGAACTCAAAAAATACCTTTGGGTCTTCATTAACCACAAACAGGACGATTGGAGCGAATGGCTGCAATGGGCAGCATTCACTCACAACAACTGCCAACACTCTGCAACAGGCTTCTCCCCCATCAAACTCATCCTTGGACAAGATGGGGAAATCTGCTGAAGAGGCTCTGTGCATGCCAAGCTCGAAATGTGATAGTGTAGACACACTAAACACACCCACAGAATCTCAGTAGTTCAGGGGAGATGTGCGATGCAAGCACACAATAACAGTAGAACTAAAAGATGTCTTGTGCTCTTCAAGATATAATAGCATGCTAGCTCAAAAGAATTCTCTAAGTCCAAATGCTTTTAGGACAGGAGGTGAGCAATATGTATCACTCGGCCTCAAGGCAAAAGTAATATTTCCCAAGCCCACAAACGTCCCACAAGAACGTACAACCCTCAATTGATGTTGTGTGTGACACACAGGTGGCCACAACCCATCAAACAAACTACACATGACTTAAAGCTTCATGCTCTAAGCAGAAAACACTTCAGAAACCTTTTGTAGATCCACAGGATTCAAACCTATGCAATCCAGAGACACAGAAACACGTCCACAAGCCACAGGGTTTGAACCTATGCTACTTGGGAATAAACCAAAAACCCTCAAAGAGTATTGACAAGCCAAAGGGTTTGAACCTCTGCTACTTGCAACAACTCAGAATTCACAAACATGTTCCGCAAACACAAATGCACATTCAAGTTATCACAATACAATATTTCTTCGAGTTGAGCACAATCAATTACTGTCCAGAATCAAGCTAGGCATCGTGTGCGAGCAAGGCATGCCTCATGACCTCTCAAGCATCTCAAAATAATTCTAGATCCAATAATATTCTCTCGCTCGAAGCTACAAACACAAGTCCTTATTGGAGTTACTGTGGCTGTACGAGCCATCGGAATCAATCGGCTCCGAACCCGTTACTTACCGTACCCGCAGTTTTCTTTTCTTTACCATTTACCTCCACGTCGACGTACATAGGCTAAACGAGTTGCTCTTTTCGTTCCCTCCCTTGCTCGAATCTCAACATAAACAGTCTACCCTGGTTGGTGGGAATACCGACCTGCTTGAGCAGCATCGCCAGCTCCCGAACCTGCGTCGTACAGATCGTATTACCCGCACCTGAGCAGTAGCTCCCGAACTCTATCGAGCCGTTGTGCTTCCGAACTCACCGACGACCGTATTCACTTTCATCACCCGAGCATTGGCTCCCGAAGGCCGTGGCACTCTAGTCCATCCGAAACCCCCCCTCATGACTCACACCGACGGCCAAAATCTTGTTGTTCTCAACTCTTCAGATGATCTCGATGACTGGAAGTTCGTCACCCAATCTGTTCTTGAAGGCAAACAGCTATGGCCGCTTGTCAATGGAGACGAACCCAGGCCAGCAGGTTTTCCCGGATCGAAGCAGGTGAAGACTTGGGATACGAAGGCTAGTCAAGCCAAGGCGGAGATGATCAAGAGGATTGGTAGGAAGCAGCTCCAGCACATTCGCCAATTGGGTAACAATCCGAAAGCCATCTGGGATTGGCTCATCGTGATGAACTCAACTGGTGGTCTCAGTGCACAGACTGCGCTGTGGGACCAGTTTGACGAGTTGAAGATGTCAAAGGCGACCGCCATGGTGGATCACATCGCCATGCTATGCGAGTTATCTGACAAGCTCGGGCGCCTCTTCAAGGACAAGCCATCCAACTCAAAATTCATTTCCACGCTCCTACGTTCCCTCCCCAACACCTCCGATTGGAAACTATTCAAAAGTGGCCTCGAATCAGACCTACAGAATGACGACAAGGAGCACGTCATCTCTCGCTGTCTCAACGAGTTCTCAAAACAGGAGCGCCAGAAGAAGAAGGAGGTGGATAGCAATGATGATGAAGCTGGGAAGGACCCCGGTGACGAGGCAATGATGGCAGACATTGCTGCAGCAGTTGCAAGGCTGCAAGTGGCGAGGAGAAATGTCGCACTTCAACGCGGTTCAAAATTCAAGATCACTTGCTTCAATTGTGGTGGTCGTGGTCACTACCAGTCGGATTGTCCAAGCGAGCCCATGGATGAAGCGCATGTCATTATCGAAGCGATTGATGGATCAGACGACTCTGACGATGGAAGGGAGAATGTTGCAGTTTGAGGGGATGCACGTTTTCGATGCTCCGTGCGATTCCTAGACTCGAGGGGATGTATTGGAGTTACTGTGGCTGTACGAGCCATCGGAATCAATCGGCTCCGAACCCGTTACTTACCGTACCCGCAGTTTTCTTTTCTTTACCGTTTACCTCCATGTCGACGTACATAGGCTAAACGAGTTGCTCTTTTCGTTCCCTCCCTTGCTCGAATCTCAACAGTCCTTTGGTTGCACACTAGGCTCTCTGCTTTGTGTCACAACTGCGGGGGTTCGAAAGCTTCCTACCTACTTCTAATTACCATGCTTTTATCTACAGCTAATTATATAAATAGAAATATCGAAAATAGATACACTCCATCCCGGAGCCATTTCCTCTCCATGATGTGTCAACCGCATGGTCACTAATTAATATCCTGAGTCAGTCATCTGAGTTAGTGCTCGATAACATGCTGCTCTTTCTTCTTGGCAAGGTCTAGAGTTGCCACATCATGCAGAATATTTCTCCTAATTGGCTCCTTGTTTTTAATTCCTCTGTCACACACATTGCTAGCGAGTTGGTATTTTTATTTGGTTGCTGCACAACCTTTTCTTAGTTCAATATTTCATTCTGGATACAGGGTTTCTCTCATGTCGGCCAAAGCCCTCTCAGGAGGCTCGGACTGGGTGGTCCTTGGTTCTGAATGACATTTCTTGGTGATTGCCAGATTGGCAGGGTTCATGCATCATAGATCAATGTTGCATGAAGCTCTATAAATATATTATCTTCTCAGTGTATTTTATTTGAGTGAGCTGCTGAGGGATGCATAGGGTGTGAGTCAGGGCACTGAGACTTCACACTTAAATGACACCAGTGTGCTGCTCTAAGTCTAAGCCATGCACTCCACTCGGATTATTTTATTATATGCTGCTTCTGCCTCAACAGGTGTCGCTCCATGCCGGGTATGCACTCTAATATTACTTAGTGGATTGACACACATTTGGATTCACAGAATTCGCAAAATTACACATATGAATGCGTTGCATGCATGTCACTGCCCAACCGTGGTGAGGCTGTCAGAAACACCATCGGTAACTGACTTCATCGAAAGCCTCCAGGGAGTATGTGAACAAGCAGAACACTCTTTGAATAAAGCCACCAAGGTTATGAGAAAGGCTTATGACAAACACACTTGTCCTGCACAGGAGTACAAACCAGGTGACAAAGTCTGGTTGGACTCAACCAACCTTCATCTCCCCCGACCAGCAAAAAAGCTGGACAACAAATGTGTCAGTCCCTTTGAGATAATCTCAAAGAAGGGACCCTCCACGTATGAACTAAAACTACCACCAGGGTGGAGGATCCACAACAAGTTCAACAAACGATATCTAACTCCGTATGTCCCCCAGGAGTTTTCCAACCAAGAAAAACTGCCACCACCTGAGCCGGAGCTTGTGGATGACATGGAAGAATACAAAGTAGAAGAACTACTTCAGGACTGCAACTGTATCATCGGTCGAGGACGCAACTGGAGGACCATAACAGAATATTTGGTCAAATGGAAAGGGTATCCGGTAGAAGAAGCCACCTGGGTCAAAAGGAGTAACCTCGCCAATGCTGAAGAACTCATCAACCAATATGAGAACAAGGAAAACCACATAGAGAATCAAACGATGGGATGTATAACCATATCATCTCCTGGCTCTCCAACAACCGAGAGCTCAACACTCTTTCCAGCCTCCAATTGGAATCATACCGATTCATTATTCTCCGATGAGCAGGGCTATTATTCATTGGACACAGATGAAGATGTCTTCAAAACTAAGTGTCCTACATCTCCTCAGATGACTCAGACCAACCCCAGCTTCCTCTTTGAAGAACAGGGTATATCTACCTGGAAACAAACCGAGGATTACAAATGGGATAGAGAATCTACTAACTCCCCCGACTCAGAGAGTGAGTACAATTAATGACTGTCAGGACGACAGTCTTAGTCGGGGGGTATTATTATGGTTTTACCCCTATTCTCCTTATCTCCAGGAACTACAGACCACACCATCTTATCTCTCAGGCCTACAATGTTCCTTTGGCATATCCTTTACCTGGTTGCCATCCCCCAATTCACAGCTGCTGCACCTGGATGACCGATGACCCACATGCACCATCACCCTTCTCCTGATGGCATCATGCTTCTTAATGGTTGGGCAAGAGTCAACTGCTAGTCGAGGGTGGTCTATGGGATGTGGCCTATTCAGATGGAGCCTCATGCAGATGCAGGTGATATGTGCTCTTTACTCTCATTCATCAGGAACACACTTCTTTTAGTGTCCTCACTCCTCATTCATTACAAGGTGCACTTCTCGCTGCATGCACCCTAGTAGGTACTATTCTTAGTATGAGTCTAATGTGTATTTAAGCTAGCCTACACTGTGGCCTTAGACCCCAGCTTTGGCTAAGGTTATATACTCCTAACTCTTACAAGCTCCTTGCTTTCACTATCTAAGTGATGCCCTAACTTCTCGCACTCTACCAAATGCCTCTCTAACACTGAATCACTGAACGTGAGTGACAGGATAGAGACCAGCCTTGGTTTAGATTAGAGTTAGTGCATAACAAAGATGAAGAAGGTGAGTACAGATCGTCTATTCCCACCACTAATGAAATGAAGGAAAAGACCTCGACAGGGATGAAGAGGTCTGGAGGCAAACAATTTTTGGAACCCTCAGGTTTGCTCTGAGTATTTTTTCCCAACAGCATGGGGAAGACCCTGGCTACACCGGCAGAGTACCCGGACATGTACTACAAACCGTTTGGAACACACTGGACCCAAAGGGTACTTCATTTAGTGTGAACTGCCTCCAAGGCCAGGGCTGTTCTAAACAGATGGGTACATCCCCGTTGAAAGGAAGAAATCACCGAGGAGTTATGTGAAGCGCTCATGGAGAGGAAAGAAAGCGCAGAAGAAGCACGGGATAAATGGGAATGGCTAGACGACCTAAAAAAGCCACCCATGTATATTAGAGGAAGGAAAGGATGAAACATGTCTATAAAAGTTCAATTAGAAACTTTAGACAACCAAGAGATGTATGCCCTATCTGCACTTGTTGACTCTGGATGCACGGGAAGTTCCATCGACCAAGAATGGGTAAAAACACACAAACTGAATGTACAAAAAGCAGTGCACCCCACTCCAGTGTACAATGCAAATGGGACCTGGAACAAAGGAGGAGACATCATGGAGTATGCAGAACTAAGACTCAAAATCAGAGACCATAGCGAGAGGATAGACCTAGCCATCATGGACCTAGGCACCACCCCACTATTCCTGGGACATGACTGGTTACAGCAGCATAATCCCCTTATCGACTGGAACACCAGATCAGTCACCTTAGCCCGCTGCAACTGCAGGAAGGTGAAGTTCAAACTACCTGACACAGACCCAGATGCCAAATGGGGAGAAGAGTATGAAGAAGGAGATACCATTTTGTGCATGGACTTCAAGGAAGCCTTTCACATATGAGCCATGGGGAGCAAAGCCAACGAGCTGGCTGTGAAAGCAAATGAAAAGAAGGAAAAAAAGATATTCGAAGAAATAGTCCCCACCGAATACCGGGACTTCAAGGATGTGTTCGACAAAGAAAACTTCGACAAACTACCCCTGTGAAAACCTTGGGATCACGCCATAGAGTTAATCCCAAACACGAATGCGAGCCTAGACTGCAAGGTCAATCCACTCAATCCCACTGAACAAGAGGAGTTGGATAAGTTCCTGGATGAAAATCTATCCACAGGAAGAATCCATGCCTCTAAATCCCCCATGACATCTCCATTCTTCTTTGTCAAAAAGAAGGATTGGAAGCTGAGACCAGTCCAAGACTATCAAAAGCTCAATGAGATGACAATCAAGAACTGTTATCCATTGCTGCTCATCGGAGAACTGATGGACAAGCTCAAAGATGCCAAGTACTTCACCAAGCTCGATGTAAGGTGGGGGTACAATAATGTTCGGATCAAACAAGGGGATGAATGGAAGGCAGCATTTCACACCAATAGAAGGCTCTACGAACCACTAGTAATGTTCTTCGGATTGACCAATTCACCAGCCACCTTTCAGTGGATGATGAATGATATCTTCAAAGACTTGATTTTGGCAGGACAAGTGTCGGTATACCTAGATGACATCCTAATTGCCTCCAAAGACAAAAAGGAACACAGGAAGATCGTCCGAAAGGTCCTACAGATACTATGGGAACACAAGTTGTTTCTCAAAGCTGAAAAGTGTGAATTTGAGGTGGAGGAAACAGAGTACCTGGGAGTAATCATCAGCGAAGGAAAAATCTGAATGGATCCCATGAAAGTGATGGGTTTGCTCAAGTGGCCTGTACCTCACAAAAACAGGAACTACAGTCCTTTTTAGGATTTTGCAATTTTTACTGACACTTTATATGCAACTATTCGAAGCATGTCAGACCCCTAATGTCCTTAACTGGAAAGGCTGAATGGACCTGGGGAAAAGCGCAACAAGACACTTTTGACAAGCTGAAAGAGTTGTTTAAAGAGGACATGGTGCTAGCCATACCATTAGACAAAGGGAAGTTCTGAGTAGAAGTAGACTCCAGCGAGGGAGCGATAGGAGTGGTTTTATCACAAGAACAGGACAGCAGGTGGAGACCAGTCACATTCCTTTCAAAGGCCCTTTCAGCCATGGAACAGAACTATGAAATCTACGACAAGGAGTTACTTGTGATCATGATCACCCTCGAAGACTGTAGACAGTACTTAATGGGTATGCGAGAAGATTTTGAGATTTGGACAGATCACTCCAATCTACAGTATTTCTGAAAACCTCAGAAGATGAACAGGAGACAGGCCTGATGGGTGACGGAACTGGCAGAATATCAATTCACCTTGCACCACAAACCCAGCATGCAGAATTGAAAAGCAGACTTGCTGAGTAGATGAGCAGACCACGATCAAGGAAAGAACAACAATAAGGATATCATCATGTTAAAACCTGAACATTTCTGAG